CCGGGAGACTTGACCTCAACACCGCTCGGCCCAGCATCATCCTTGCGGGGGGTGGGAGGACGGCCAGGCCTGTCTCAGGGACTTCCAGTTGACCCCTCTGGGCCTCAGTTACCAGAACTTAAAGTCTTTTGTGTATCACTTTCAAAATATTCACCACGTTTATGTACAGTTGTACTATTATTTACCTACTAGTTCTTTAAATCAACTTATTTTGCTGCATCCTAAACAATCTACAAAATCATAGACTTGGTATGCTAGTTACAGGAGTTCCCTAATGAGTATTCAGTAAAAACATAACTACAATAACAAAAACTGCACATCTACGTGTGACGGAAAATCAAGGCATCCCTGCTTTGGGAAAGGCGGTATTAAAAACCGAGGGGTTGGCCCTCGCTGGTTTGGCTCCCGTCGACCTGCAGACTGAAGGGTCCCGGGTTCGATTCCGGTCAAGGGCATGTGCCCAAGTTGCGGGCTCGATCCCCAGGAGGGGGCATGCAGGAGGCAGCCAATCAATGATTCTCATCATTGGTGTTTCTATCTCTCTCTCCCTCTCCCTTCCTCTCTGAAATCAATAAAAATATTTTAAAAACAACCGAGGGGCTGGCCTTGGGCCTCCCTAAGAGTCTCTCGTGACTCACGGTCATGTTCTCAGTCACGGAATCAGGGTCCTCAGAGACCACCCATCCAGCTGGGAGGATGGGCCTTTGGGCGATAGCCCAGGAGGGCGGGGGAGGGATCACCCCAATCCAGGGCAGTGGGAGCACTGGGGCTGCGAGAGGAGGGTGAGCAGCTCGGCGTGGGTGAGGGAAGGAAGTGCACATACACACCTTTCAGGATGCCGGGGATGTTGCTCAGTGGATGCCCCCACTCTTGAGTACAAACAGAGGGAAGGAGCTGGGGCCAGTCCTGAGCCTGCTCCACAAGCCTCTCCTAGAGGCTGCACTGACCACTGGCCACCGCAGCCTTGGAGGGTCCTCTAGGGCTCTCAGGACTCAGAGCAGGTCTGGCTCACTCGTGCCCCAAGACCCAGGTCTTACTTCCTGGCCGCCTTCCTCCTTTCTATTCTATTTCTGTATCCCCAGTTTTCTGTGGGGCAGGCTCCCTCTTCTTCCCACACCAGCAGGCAGGCCTCCCTTGGCCTCTTGGCCTCTGAGCCCCCCGCACCTCTCCATTGTTAGACTCCTCCCTCCCGCGTGGGGCTCAGCCCAGGGGTCTGATGGAGGTCACAGTCATGGCCAAGAATGGGATGATTGCAGGGAGGGCTCCCCCAGAGGGCAGAGAGAAAGCAGGAGAAATCAGCAGCCTTTCTTCTCCACCCGCCCTGGGGAGCTAATTACAGGCCAGCAGCCCACTGCACAGGTGAGCCTGGGACCAGCCACCCTGCACACCAGGGCAGAACATTCAGCCTCTCCTGGGAACGAGGGATGCACTGGGGATGTGGGGAGGGCACTAGGGGAGAGACACTTCCTATTTCCTCAGTTCAGGGCCCATAATTAGTTTGTGGGATGAGAGCAAAACAATCATCCTCAGGGTGACAGCCAGACATTCAGGCGGCATGAGGTGTGGGGTGCAGGCAGGGCAGGGGGGCAGGGACAGAGGCTGGGGCAAGAGGAACCCACTTCTTCACCCCGCTAGCACTTCTCCCCAGAACCTTGATCTCTTCCCGGCGCTTGGACTCTGCCCCAGAAGGGCCCACTGAACCTAGCAGACTGGGAGGCAAGGCTGTGTTTGCCAAGGGAGGGATACCCGCCTGAGGTTATTTCCGGCTTCTCCTGGGGAGGAAGGCCGGAGAGGGGCCAGGCCAGAGCAAAAGCTGAGAAGGTTCCCATCAGGGCACCCCTCCCCAGCCTCCTGCCCACGAGCCCACGGTCTGGCCTCAGGGCCAGGGAGGGAACTGCTGGAGCTGTTTGCCCAGACAGGCCTATTAGGTGGGGCCATCGTCAAGGAGCAGGGAGAGGGGAGATGTCTCACGGGGTCTCCCCCCAACCCTACCCCGTTTGCCATGGAGTTCCCTGAGCAGCCCACCCCTGAGAGCTCAGCCAAGCATGTGGGGCAACCCCAGCTCGGTACTCCAAGGAGAACATGTCCAATCACAGGGGAGCGTTGGTCACCAGCAGCCCGAGGACACCACTGGGATGCTCTGGACCTGAGGTGTGGACAGTATGATGAGGCCACAGAGGGTGGGGTTCTCAGAAGAACATCTGCTGAAGCAGAACTAAGCCCTGCATCTTCTCAGGGTCTTTGTCCTCCGTGGGGATCATCACACAGGAACCAATAAGGAACTTCAAGATCTAGACAGGCCCAAGGCTCACAATACTAAGTCTTTTGTTTGCCACCCTCCAGCTACCTCTGACTTTCACTTCAATTTATCTGATCCGAACAGACAATCTCAATCCCATTTTGCAGATTAGAAACCAAAGCAGAGTTACAGGGAACGCTGGTTTACTCAAGGTCACAGATCAAGTTACCCTCCCCAGTGGGTCGGATCAACCACAGGCCCCATCGTTCCCTCCGCCCTGTGGTGCATTTCCTGGGAATGTGATGATGCCAGATGTTTTGTTTGTTTATATAACAGCATCTTGAGCTGAGCAGGACTGCTCCAAGCGCTGTATCTATGCCCTGGCCCCATCCCTAGGAACACTCCTTAGACAGCAAAGTACAGCCTAGGGAGGGAGCCCCAAAGGGAACATCCTGAGTACCCTAAAACACTCAGGGGGTCCCAGCCTCACCGCTCCTCCTCCGCTCTCATCCACCGCCACACAGTCCCCCAGAAACAGCCCCAGGACCTCCACACCCGTGCTATTCTGGTGGCGACATCATGAAGACAGACCCAGCCATTCCCTCAGGCACTACCCAGCAAGGCTTCTCAGCCCTCGCTACCCCTTCGAGGGAAAGCCCCTTGGAACCCTCATCAACACTCTTCTCTCTGAGAAGGGACAGTCCCTGGTCTCTGGAGATTGACCGGTCATTCCTCCTTTGAGGACTTCTCAGATCGGAGCCAGAAAAGCATGGCCTGACTCTGCCCCTGTCCCGGCTTCTTGTTTAGGCTCCAGTGCCTGACAGGGGTCATCCTGTCTAACCATCAGCTTCTGCCCCAGCCAGGCCCCACTTCCCTTGCCCTTCTGCACCCTCCAAACTGGGAGCAAGCGACTCACGGTGCAGGCTGAGGGAGATGTTGATGGTGTGCTCATCCACGAAGCCCTTCAGGCCAGGCATGCGGGCACACTTGAGCTGCGTCTGGGCGGCACTGTCCCCGACGTGCACCCAGCACACAGTCTCGTTGGAGTAGCTGAAGTCCATGGCTGTGGTCTGCCGTGTGCTGGTGGGCGTGATGGTAGACACTTGGGCCCCACTCAGGTACGTGGCCAGGATGTTTTGAGAGTTGGCAATCAGCAGTACCGGGGGCCGGTCTACCGGCTCTGTAGATGGAGGAGAGGAGGGTCAATGCAGCCAGGGTCCCTGGGACCTCACAGGCTGCTCTCCACCGAGGAACAACACTGAGGGCACCTCCCCTTGTGGGCACAGGTGACCCCACCCACCGTTCTTGGCCTTGCAGGAACGGTTGTCTGGCTGCAGCAGGTAACCTTCCACACAGCCGCAGGTGAAGGAGCCATCTGTGTTGGTGCAGAGCTGGCTGCAGGTGCCGTACACCGAGCACTCATCAAAGTCTGCCAGGAAAAAAATCAAGGGCATGGTCATTGGCAGGGTGATGAGAGCAGGGAAGTGTGTGCCCTCAGACACTACCACTGTCCATCCCTACAGCTACGTTGGAGGACAATTTGGCAGAATATTATAACAATAACTGTGCAAACTCACCCAGCAAGTCCAGACTTGGAGAAAGGCACATATGTGCATGCCATCCATTCATTCAGAAAATATTTCTTTAGTGCCTACTCAGTGCCAGAACTGTCCTAGGCTCTAGGGCTACAGCAGTGAATAAAACAAATTCAAACTGTTCCCGCGTAAAACTTAAATTCTGATGGTAAATGGAATACTGTTATAATAATAATAAATACAAAAGAAAGATAAATTGTATTTTTTGAGCTGCGAGTGCACTGGAAAGTGACTGGTGCTATGAAAAATATTAAGCAGAGAAAGGGGAAAGGGCACGCAGGCAGCGGGAGTGTGATCTTAGAGTGGCCAGGGGTGGCCTCCCTGAGAAGGTGGCATTTGTGCAAAGGCTCGAGGGAGGCAAATTTAAAACAGAAAAGTTTGCATTGTTTGTAACAGAGAGAAATTGGGAACATCTTACTCATCAATAGGGCGATGGCCAAGTAAACTGTGGTAACAGTCATACATCACAGTGGTTTTTAAAAGAACGAGGTAGATCTCTACGTATTAACATGGAAAAATCTCTAGAACACGCTGAGTGAAAAAATTGAAAACAGATATGTACAGGATGATTTTATGTAAAAAAGAGCTGATGCGCATAAACAGTACTTTCACTGGGGTTTTCCATGAGTACATGCGCACAGATGTACAGAAAAAGCCCCGGAAAGAGAGATAGCAAACCGGTAACAGAGCTGATCTCCACAGAGATGGGAAAGGGACCAGAAGGGAAGAGGATTTGTCGAAGTGGACTTTAGTTTTATCTGTCGTGCTTTAACTTTTTTTACAAGAAAACTCACATGTGACCTATATAATTTTAAGATGAATTTTTAAACGTCTGGTGGGAGCAAGTGGGCTCCGAGTCATGCCCGGAGGCTATATATAGGGCCTGTAGCCACGCCTCCTCTCTGGCACCTTCCATCTAACTTTCTCCTACTCCAGCCAGGCCCGCTGGCCCTGCCTCCCTCTTCCCACCACCATCACAGTAGCAGCTGCACTCACCTTTGCAGGTCTTCCCATCTGCCTGCAGCTGGAAGCTGTTATTGCAGTAGCAGGTAGGCCCGTTGAGTGTGGGGACACAATGGTGCTGGCAGCCCAGCTGAGAACAGTTGCCTAGGAGCTCTGTGAGGGGCAGGAGACACACTCAGGGCCTCAGACCTGGCAGCCACCCCCAGACTGTACCCTCCACCCAACTCCCGTCAACCCTTCAGAAACCACATTCAAGGCCTGCAGTGTTGGAGAGGAAAGGGGCTTAGGAAGCATCTACCATATTTTGCAAGTGGGGAAACTGAGACTCAGAGAGGGTATAAGACAGGCCCAAGGTCCAGGTCACATAACCAATTAGGGCTTACAACCATCTCCCTGCTCTGGCCTCCCTCTGTCCCATGGAGAGAGGTGTGGTAGTTTGTTGGGCTCAAAGGGAATGTGGGCAGTGAGCCTTATTCCCTTCATATGCCTCTTATTTGCACTGCCCGGGGACTACGACGCCGGCCCCAGGACTGCGGGGGAAGAGTGGATATGGAATCGAATCTTTCCCCCACAGGATCCCAGCTCTGGCTTGGAAGCACCCCTGCAACTTATCCCTTGAGCCCTAGAGGCTTCTGAGAGAAGCCTCAGTAAAGTCCAGGCGGAGGATGGCAGGAGGAGCAATTTGGTTCCCTCCGGATTCTTCTCTAATCTTTCTCCTGCCACTGACCCACTTCCACGGGGGAGACGCAAGGGAATGAGACAGGAGGGGGAGAGGTGGGAACAGCGGCCCCCCCAAACCAGCGACCCAATTAATGGCCTTGCATGGGGCCAGGCAGCCTGGCCACAAAGACCCCTTTGTCCAGCTGCCTCACCCCCACCCCCCCCCAGGAGTGAGAGTTGCCCCAGATGCTAAGACGTTCAGAAGCACTAAGCCTGCCAGGCAGAGCTGGGGTGGGGGGGCCAGACCCCAGTTACTGCTTTTCCTCCCCACCTCCACCCCGAGAGCCCAAATGTGCTGTCTGTCCAGCCTTCCAGCACAGAGCGGGTAAGTATTGTTTCTTCTAGAGAATCTAGAAGAGTTTCTTTTCTGGATATGTTGAGGAGAACCAATGTCTGTAATATCAGAAAGGAAGTTCAAACCCTAGGTTTTGAGGTTCTTTGTTATTTTTAAAACTGAAAAGGTATTTGAGGTATTCAAAAGGAAGCACATTTGAACATGCACCATCCGCTAAGATGGGATGTGCGTGGTAACTGAAGGACCCGGAGGTGTCTCCTCCCACAGGCCAGGGAAGCAGACGAGCAAAACTTCAGCCCCCCAACCCCAGCTTTCATCACAGAGTCTGCTCTTCTCTGTTCATACTCATGTTGCATATAAGAAACCATTTGGAGAAAAGGTCCCACTATTTACAAAAAAAAGTATGAAAACACTGATCTCATGTAAAGCTTTCTGTTTACAGGTGGGAAACTAGGGTCTGGAGAGGGGTACTGACTTGTCCACGCACAGAGAGAAGCCCAGGACAGGGTCCATACTTGGACAAGCTCCAAGCCCAAAGGGCCCACGGATTTTGGCCGCTGTCTGGTGGCAATTCTATGTAGGGGCGTAGGACAAAGCCTTATCCCTACTGGAGGTGCAGGGTCAGTCCTCGGATGGCAGGCCTCCAGACCCCTCAGGTGCCCAGCTGAGAACTCCCCGCATGCACCTGTGAGAGGAGAGGTAGAAGAGCCCTTACCTCGGCAGTGGGCCCCCTCGTCCGAGCCATCCATGCAGTCCTGCACCCCATTGCAGAGGCGGGACATGGGAATACACAGCTCAGTGCCCAGGCAATTGTGCTCGTTCGGCTGACATCGCTGGGCCTTACTCTGTGGGCCTGGGGGCAGACGGAAAGGTTAGCATTACCACGCTGGCAAAAGCAGCTGTAGTTGGCCAGCTGCTCCCTGGGAGAGGAAGAGGGAACTGAGACTTGGGTTTCAGACATCTGCATTTTTGAGATCTTAGGAGGCCTCAGAGTTGGTTAGACTCTTCATCTAGAGCTCTTCGACACGGATGTCACACACCTGGGAGCAGCTAGGTGGAGGGGAGAACGCGGCTTTCAGCCAAGAGTCCACGCTTCCAATGTCCCCTGCCTATGGACCCCAGCGCCTCCACATTCTACACTCAGGAGACAGGCCACGGTTAGAAGTGAAAGGTTTGAATGAGCCAAGGAAAACAGAGTCCATGGTAGAAAAGCTCCAGTGACAAAGAGCATCTCCTTCCCATAGCTGCCCGGGTCACAGAATGGGCTGAGCGTCGGACGGACCGGGTCTTCCGGAACTGCACTGTCCAATATGTAGCATCAGGCATAGGTCACTACCGCGCATTTGAACTGTGACTAGTTGAAAATGTAAGCATAAAATACACACTGGCTTTTGAAGACTTAATGCCACAAACAAAAAAGAATGTGGCCCAGCCGGCGTGGCTCAGTGTTTGAGTGTTGACCTATGAACCAGGAGGTCACGGTTCAATTCCCAGTCAGGGCACATGCCAGGTTGCTTGCTCAATCCCCAGTAGGGGATGTGCAGGAGGCAGCCAACCGATGATTCTCTCTCATCATTGATATTTCTCTCTCTCTCTCCTTCTCCCTTCCTCTCTGAAATCAATAAAAAAAAAAAAAAAGAATGTGAAAGATCTCATGAATACTTTTATATGAATATTATACTAAAATGATAAAATGTTGGATACACTAAATAAAATTAATTTCACCTGGTTGTTTTTTCCTTTTTAAATGTGGCTACTAGAAAATATTGAATTGCCTTATGCTTTGCATTATATTTCTATTGGACAGCACTATTCTAGATCCCCCAACCCCAGAGCAGCCTGTCTGATAGAAAGATTTGGGAAGGATCAAAGATGGAAGCCCGCTGGTGATGTCTCTGGTACTTCCTTTGTTGCCCAAGAAGATGGACTTGGGGTGGCTGTTGAGCTCCTCAGAGACTCGTCAGGCCTTGCAGGCTAGGAAGCTGGCTGAGACCATGAGCTGGAAGACAGACTACTGTGGACTGGCTCGCCAACCTGGACGGGGTGTGTGAGAGTGTCTCCCCGTGAGTGAGCTATCCTGTGTGCCTGGGCAGGAGTCTGCATGCACAGGTGAGGGCGGTGTGTGGTGTGCAGTGAGGGGATATCTGTGTGTCTCCATTTCCACATTCTTTGGGGATTGAGTCTGGTTTTGTGTGTCTGTCTGAGTGCTTCTGCACCTCCCCGTTTTGAGTGTTGACTCTGTGTTGCTGTAAGAACATGTGCTTTTGTATATGTCGGGGTGGAGGGTGGACAAGTCAGTGCCCAGGAGAGGCTGTGTGTGTGATGGGTCTGAGAGTAAGAGTGGGGATGTGTATAAGGTGGGGTTTGCTTCAAGGAAAGAATGGATAAAAAGAGCCAGGTCTGGCCCCTCTGCAAGGCTTTCTTAATCCTTAACACCAAGCAGCGGGTCAGAAATGTGGGGGTTAAGGTGGCATCAGACAAGGAGGCACTCCAGGCTGAACCACCCCACCATAGACACTTGTAGAATATCCCTGGCCCCCAGTCCTCCAGGGCAGAGAGAACTGGTGGCTCCCTTTCCGGCCCTAAAATTACCCCTGATAATTACGGGTAAGGGTGTGGGGAGAGCACAGGGGATGGGGCTGGAACAGGATAAACCCGGGAAAAAGAACAGAGACAGACCTAAGAATGCTCGGGCACCTAGACCCTGGCCGAGATTGACAAAGCAGGGGAGAGGCTGAAGGTGGAGACCCCAACACGCTGCCAGCTGCCCAGGATTCTGGGGTCCAGCCAGCAAGTCCTCCACCCCCACCTCCCACCCCCACTGGCAAAGTAAAAGCTGGGTGGGGACCTTTCTCCCAGTTTAAACAGCTGCCTCTGATTACACCACTTACTGGGGGCAGGGGAAGGCGGGGGTGGTGGGAAACGCACAGGGGTGGGGCTTCTGGTATAGAGACTGAGCAAGAGTTGGTGGCCTTTGGCCTGGGACTCTGAGGACAGAAAGGGGACCCGGCTGGACCTGTGGGCATTCAGCAAGGGTCGGGAGGCTTTGAGGTGGGAAAAAGAAGGACAAGCAAAAGAAAAGGGAGGTTGGGCTCTCTCCTTCCAGCAAAAATGTCAGTGCGGCCCTGGCTGGTTTGGCTCAGGGGATAGAGTGCCGGCCTGTGGACTGACGGGTCCCGGGTTCGATTCCGGTCAAGGGTACATGCTGGGTTGTGGGCTCGATCCCCAGCAGGGAGCGTGCAGGAGGCAGCCAGTCAGTGATACTCTCTCACCATTGATGTTTCTATCTCTCTCTCTCTCCCTTCCTCTCTGAAATCAATAAAAATATATTTTAAAAAAATGTCAGTGCGGAGAAAACAGTCTTGGGAAGACTCGAGGTGCAGCGGTAGAGTGAGCAATCCCACGTGCCATTTCTGAGCAAGCCAGGCACCCTGCCGGGCACAATGAAGGGGGGAGAGGACAGTTTTAGCTGTGTCATGGACAAACAATCACAGAGCAAGGTCTACACCAGGCGAGAGATCAGCTTGTCCTCATCCCAAACTGCCTGGGCCAAAAGGAAAAAGATAAGTCAGGAGTTTTGGGGGAGGGACCCAGAAAAGTACTTACAGATCTCAGGGGCCTCATCAGATCCATCAGGGCAGTCCCTCTCACCATCACACCGCCAGCCCTTGGAGATACAGGTGATCTGGTCTTTGCAGGCAAACTGCTTGGGGCTGCAAGTCTTGGGGACTAGGGGCAAGGAAAGAAAACGGGGTGTCAATGAAGGCTGAAAGCCAACTTTACGGCCCTAAAGCCCCCCGTACAGCTCCTCCTCCTTCCCTACCATCAGTCTCCATTTGGCCCAGACTCTGTGAGTCACAGCCCATGGTGGGGGGAGGGGGCTGTGTGTCACTCCTAGAACACAGAATACCTGTGGTGGGGGGAGGGGGAGGATACAGGGAGCACACTTTACTGCCCTCACCCAGCTCCCTAGCTGCCCGTCCAGTGCGCCCCCTCCTCCAGCCCTCAGGGTCAAAGCCCTTGCTGTCTGGGTCACTCTTGGCCACGCACCAACACCTGCAGCTTTGCTGACCGAGAGGAAGGACGGGGCATTTACGGAACATTGACATGTTTTCTCTTATCTTCCTCTCCCTCCCACTGCAAGCCCAGAGCTGATCTTTTGTAACCTCTCTGCTCCTCTGCCCTCTGGGAACTCCTGGTCCTAGGAACCCATCACCCTCTCCCCCATCTCCAACTCCTAACTAACCACCAGGCCCCCAGACGGGAAGTGTGTGTGTGGGGGGTGCCCTTGGTACACCCGGAGCTTGGAAACGTAGCTTGGAGACGATATCAACGGAGGTACTGGAGGGCAAGACTGCGGGGAGGGGAGTGGGGGGGCAGGGCAGGGGGCCCCACCTCCACCTCCAGTCCCTAAAGACATAGCCTCCCTTGTGCTTAGACCTCAGGGAGGACTTTCAGCAGATGTCCCCAAAGATAAGAGGCACCTAAAGATCGCTCAGGGTGATGGCGTTGAAAAGCCGAGGCAAGAGAGGGCTGGGGGGACCTGTGGGAGCTGATTTCAGCCCAGCCAGACCATGAGGCTGCTGCATCCAGGGCCTCTTTGCGCTGTCCCTTCACCCCCACCAGCTTCCCTCTGCTCCACGCCATCCTCACACCTCATTCTCTAAGGAGGAGGAATGAAGAATGTAACACTAACTCCTATCACGGGCTCAGTATGTGCCAGGGATTGTGGTAAACCAGTTCTTTCTCTGTGTCATCTCATTTAATCGTCTTCCCCACAATATGAGACAGTAGGTACTACTCCTGCCACCATTTTATAGACGAGCACACCGAGCCTCAAGAGGGTGGGGTCACATAGTAGGCAAAGGACACACCAGGGCTCACTCAGTCTTGAGCTGACTCCAAGCTTTTAACCAGTGCAGCCTATACTAGTCTCCCCATTCCCACTAAGACACCCCAGCTGTTCCTCCCAACCCCATCACCAGGTCCCCATGGGAAGGAAAGTCCTCCCCGGTCCCTTACCCCCACCCAGGGCTGGCTCCCAGTCCCCCCGCTCTTCATCGCCTTTTCCTCGTCCTGTGTCAATTCCATTTCTATTCAGCTGGCGTGCACTGGAGACCAGCTCTGTGCCAGGCACTGCCTAGGCACCAGGGTGCCAAGGAGGAGTAAATGCCCCCCAGGAGCCTCAGGTCCCTGGGAAGGCAGCTGCACACCACGACCTCGAATGCAGGGCAGAGTGAGCTCGGGCTGGGACGGAGTCTAAGTAAAGTATGTCAGGGCTCGCCGGGAGGGACAGAATCTGAGGGGGGCCACGTGAAGAAGATGTCCTCCCTCCCTAACCTCCGTCGCTGGCAGAGGGCACTACACCCAGGCCCCTGGGACATAGTCCACACCCCCAAGCCTCCTGCGCCAGAACTCACAGACTAGGCCTGAGGTCACTGGTTGGTCACTCCAAACTCCGCTCCATTCTGCGTCCTAGCCATGATCCCCCCTCCTTTGGCCCTTACTTTGTCCCCCCTGCTGTCCCCCACCCCCATTTTTGGCCTGAACTCGACAGAGGAAACAGCAGCTGGCAAACTCCGAAAGCTGGAATGAGAGAGATTCACAAACCAGATGTGCTCTTGCAGAGGGAAGGGAGTGGGGGATGGGGGAGTGAAAGAAGAGGAGCCCTCAGGGCTCCCTATCCCACACCAGCATCTCTTCAGACCCAGGGACAGAGAGGTTGGGGATGCACATCTCCCAGGAGCCAGGGCAGCGCGAGGATCGTGGAGAGATAAGTGAAAGAACTTCCTTCCTGTCAGGGATGGTGGAGAAAGCCCAGGGAATGTGGAGTTTGAAGGCTGAGGCCTGTCTTTGATTTCCTTCAGGGGGAGAGGGGAGGAAAGAAACAAATAACCTACTTTGGGGCAGTCTACGCAGCCCAGGGAAGCCCCACTGGAGGTGGGAGGGAGTTGCCGTGGGGGTGGGTAGGAAGCTGGTAATCTGTTTAGAGCCTCCAGCCAAGCCCACTCCCGCCCCCCCTCCGCCCCCTGAGCCTTCTGCATCTGATACCAGCACCCAGAACACCCATCTTTGTGGCCTGCAGCTAAGATGAGGGAGCAACACAGCCCTAAGTTCAGCCCTAAATTGGGGATCAACTACTGGGCTCAGCGGCCGCTGCTGCCTCCTGCCCCTCGTGAGAATTGGGGCTTCGTAATGACAGGAGCTACGAACACTTTACATGGTCACTATGAGTCAGCCACTGATTGGAAGGAAACACTTTGTATTAACTCATTTAGATCCTCCCAATGCTGTGAGGTGGGTACTGTTGCAATCCCCATCAGACAGAGGTAGAAACCGAGGTGCAGAGCGAGTCATAACTGAGCAGGTGGAGAAGGGAGACTGACGGCAGGGAGCATACTTTGGCCCCTGAAGCTGGGAGTGGGAGCAGGATCACAGGGGGTGGTAGTGGCCTTCAAGGCTCATCAGGGAGGAGAGGGACAAGAACAAGACAGAAGAGGGAAGAAAGAGGGGAGAGATGAAGGAGGAGAACTAAAAAGGAAAGAGAGCAAGCGAGGTTGCAGAGAGAACGCCAGGACACAGGGGCCGTCTGTTCTCAGCTTTGCCTGGAGATGAATGTGACCGCCATGCTAACTCTGGCCAACACCCCTGCCCCCCCTCAGATCCAGGCACTCGGCCCAGCCATGGCCCCCAGGGCCACCAAGCTGGAGCCAGGACAGGAGGCGTAGCGTTGGGTGTACACGGACCCCACTGCCCGGCTTCAGCCTTGGCTGTCCTCCTCTATCCCGTCCTGGGACCTGGGGGGTGGGGCGGGGAAGGGTGCCTGGCCAGAGAAGAGCGCATGAGGAAAGGACGGGCCCTGCGGAGGTCTTCTCCAGAGGAGGGGACCCACTCTTTGAGGGAGAGGGAGAGAGGTGAGACCTCAGATGGTGCTTCCTAAAGGACCAGGAGACCTGAGGCAGGAAATTCATGAAAGAAACCCTTGAGCAGACACCGGAGAGAGAGAGAGATTGTGTGAAGGGATGTTTTCTAAAGGGAACAACACGATATATCTAAGGGAAGAGGAGCCAGGGGGTGGCCAAGGGGTGGGGGGCAGAGCCTGCAGGAATCTAAACTTTCAAACATATGGGGGTGGGGCAGCAAGGGCCTCCCAAACCCAAACCAAGAGCTTTTCACTGAATTTTATGTATTTTGGGTGTTACCCGGTGGCTCTTTCCCGCAGCTCAGCGAGGCTCAGACACATTTTTGTCATTCCTGAGTCTGGGCCTCTGCTTTGCGGCCTGGACAGACGGACAGACAGGATGGCCTGCACTGCCAGGGGAGGGGAAGGGTCTCCCCCTACATCTTGAGTCAATATTGACTCAGCAGCACATTAGCCTGACAAGTGACCTCCCTACCATCTTTTCCTTTCCCCCACAAGTAAGATTCAGACCCTTCAAATGTCCCCAGAGATCATCGTATCTCTCCCCAGGCCTTTATGAGCCCTGATCATCTACCCCCAACACACACACAGGGATCATCCTCAGCAGAAGTGAGAGCTCTAAGCCCCTGACCCATTCCCCACACCTTTCTCTAGTTCTTAGGTCATGAGGAAGTCCTGCCAGAAGTCTAACCTCCCTCCTTCCTTCTGAAATATCTCCTTTCTCCCTCTTACTCAGTCCACAAAGGGTATCAAGTTCCCTCCTTGCAGAAACATTCTCTCCAAAATCCATTCCCAAAATTAGTGGAGGGGGAAGACGAGAGAGGAACTTGAAGGAAAGTGGAGAAGAACTTTCACTGCCAAACTGGATACTCCCAGTCTGGCCTGGGAGGGTACGAACAACTACAAAATTTCGAGCATGTGAGCAAGCCCAGGAGATAGCTTTCGGGATACCAAGAGGCCTGGATGGAAGGGATGGCGACGAGCAGAGACAAAGCAAGCGACAGAGATTGAGAAACGGGGCCGAGAATGCCACGAAGGATGGGCAATAAGAGAGATAAACCAAGAGGATGAGGGAGTTTCTGAAAGGCCAAGAGGGCACACGCCAATGACAGACTGACTGAAGCAAAAAAGATACAGTGGGGTCTCGGCCCAAAGGTTGCCAAGACAATGACACAGTTATCTTGGGATGAACTCGTGGAATAACAACCCCTCTGAGACCCAGATTAAGGTGGGGGCAGCATATATCCTGATTTAGAGAGACAGAGTCCCTGCCCTCGCAATGTCTGACCCCAGGGAGACCCAGGATAGGGACTACTGCCTCCCATAGAACCGGGAAGGTGGGAGGAAGGAAAGATAGGGCTCTTCAACCTGGGAGGCCAAGGCCTGGGGAGGGTCTTAGCTCCCCAGGAGGAGCAAGAGGGGCAGAGGCCTCTCCTCCACCATCCCGCACCTCTCTCCCAGGGAAGGTTGACCCTGGTGCCCTTCAGAAGCACAGCACGGGAAGCACTCCAGAGCCAACTGCTTCCTTCTCCAAACAATGCAGGATCCTGCTAACCGGCTGGAATCTGGGACTGAACACAGAGGGGTGGGACTAGGTTCTCCAAATGCTCACATCCCACAGTTCGCTCCACCAGGTCAAGGGACCCTTGCATGGGACTCGACTGGGCGATAAGCACCCCCATTGAGAGCTGGAGGACTTGAAGGCTGGAGAGTCCACGAAGTGGGGGGCAGGGGGAGCTGAAAAGAGACTCCTGAGAGGGAATGAGCTTGGGGTTCTAATGTGCAGGGCTGAGGCTGCAACAGGAGGACAGAGAGTTAGACTTGCATAAGGAAGAGCTCCCAAAGGTGAGAAGGAGTTTGGAAGAGTTTGGGGCATTTGGACAAGCTCTGGCTCTGGCCAGGGCCCCGATTGGCATCCTTGGGAGGCCTGTGATGGGGAAGTGGTTGGGAACAAAAAACTATGGAGAAAATGGAGGAAGGGGAAGCAAGAATGGGGAAAAAGGAAGTCTTATGAAGCAGCCTCAAACATCAAAATATCCCGCCCCCCTCCCCCCAAATCCCCAAATCAATGCCCCACATGTCCCTGCTTTGTCTTTCGAGTCTCTGCTTTGAAAGATAAGGGTAAAGGGAGATGTTCAAGGAACTGGGTCTGACCAGGGATAAGAGGAGTTTGGAACCTTTCCCCAGAGAGCCAGGAGGCAAACACCTCAGTTTCATAACTCACTTCAACGGTCCAGCTTGTCTGATAAGTGGTAACACACTGCTCAAGGGTGTGTGTGGAGAGCGGTCGGAGGAAGGAAGGCAGTCAGCCTTCGTCCCTGAGCCGGATCCGCCTGGGGCAGCCCTCCTCCCTACAAAATGTTCTTCATCTCAGCAGGATCCTCGATAACCCTTCTTCCCATTCCGCACCCCATCTGTTTCCCCATCCTCCCCATAGCAAGGACACTCGACTCTGTCTACTAGCAGGGAATGACATTGTTCCCCAAAGAGAAAGGGACCCTGGGGTAGGTTCAGGCATAGCAGAGAAGGCAGAAGAGGTGGGGGAGACCCCAGGCTGCTCCCCTGGAAGAGCAGCAAGACCTGTGAGAGCAGCAGGAAGGAAGGTTAGATACTAAGTCAGGTAAGCTGGGGCCGGGAGGTTTCCTTCTCTCAGACATGTCTGTGGGCTTGGGGCTTGGGGCTTGAGGGCCTGTGCAATTCCTCTCCCTGAGCCAGAGTGGGTGAGACTCATGATTCATAGTCCCATTCCCAAGGTAAGAAGGGTAGTGTGTGCTGGGGGAGGGGTCCTTTCCCTGGAATTTTGGGTACAGGTTGGTTTGAGCTGGGGTTACAGCCATGGGCTGAGTGAAAATTTTAAGAAAGGGTAGGGAGGCATTAAGGCGAACATACCCAGTCTCCCTCTTCTACTCACCACCAACCAACTTGGTGTGGCAAATAGAACTGCTTTAGAACCCTGGGGGTGACACTACCTGGGCCATTCCTGACTGGGCTGGGGAAACTTTCTGTTCTCCACAAACTCCTGATGCTCTCTCTCTCTCTCTCTCTCTCTTAAATTTTCTTCTCTCCCTCCCAGAAGCTGCTACTGTATATCTAAATCCCTCTGCCTCGGTTTCCCCTCCCACCTCACAGAATTGATAACGGGGCAAGAACTGCATAAGAGGAAAGCCATGAGTAAGGGTTGGCTGTGAGGGCTGGTCAGGAGAATATTCAGGACAGATCCTCTTTACTCCTTTTGGGCAGATAATTGAGGTGGGGGGTGGCAGAGGAGCAAACAGTCCCCAAGACAGAATAATTGAGGGCCACTGAATATACTGTTTTTCTGGCACAGCTGCTTCCTGACTCCCTAACCTCCCTCTCTCAACCGAAGCAATTTGGGGTAGGGGAAAAGTGGGAAAGGTAATCTGATTTCAGAGAAAACTTTCCTAATCTCAACCTCGCAAAATTTAGAAGATGGAGGAAGGGTGCGCGATGGTATCAGGCCCAATTTTTCCCGGATGACAGGAAGCGGTGAGATCCCACCCCTTCTCAAGTCAGGGGCCCAGCCCAACCCCATGACCCCAGCTCAAAGCTTAGGCAAGACTTGAACCAGTGACTCACAAATAAGAGGAAAACAAATAGCTGACATAAATGGGGAGGGGGCACTTCCCCAACAGGACACAGTTCTAGCCCAGACCCAACTGTAGTATTCAAAGTGTATGTAAATGGAGGGAGAAGGGGAATGGTAGAGAGAAATAAACACATTTACCAAAGGAGCAGGGAAGTGGGGAGTTGGGGCATAGCCATAACCCCCATCCAACCTCCAACTCTCCTACCAGTCCCCACTGTGATCAGGCCAGAAGGCGAGAAAGCAGCCTTCTCCCGACCTCCCACCTCAGCATTCCAGGCCATTCTCCAGCCCCCTTACCCAACCATGACATCTGACGTTTTTCCTTTCAAAGCTCCCAGGAATTAAGAAGGAAAATTCAAAGTCACATAGCATCTCCTGCTTCTCCTCTGCCCCCCAAAACAGCCCTATCCAGGCTACTGACAGAGGCCCTGAGAGGGGGAAGTGCTCACTTCGGAACCCAGGCCGGCAGCGGCTGGATCCTGGACCCAGGCCTCCAAGCCTGGTCTCCCAGGCCCAGATTCCACACCCAAGCAGGGGGGGGCCTCTCCATGGCCCTCCCTTTCCACCCACAGCCATCTCGGGCCTGCCTGCCCTCTTCCCAGCGAGGCACTCTTGACCTGGCTCCCTCTTTCAGATTCAGAGGCCACTGCAAAAGTCCCTCCACCCCCATTTGCAGCCCTGTATTGCAAACCCGGATTCCTTCACCATTCAGATGGGGGTGGAGGGGTGGAGGATGTAGGGGAGGTGGAGGCCCTCCCCAACCACAGATAGGAAGAGAAGGCCTCTGGATCCCTGGATCAGAAAAGGGGGGAACCCTCTCCTCCCTTCCCAGGCCTCTGGTCTTTGTTTGGGCTGGGGGCCCCCATGGAAGCATCATTTACCCAGGGCCACATCCTCCAAATTGGACCCCCATCCCCACCCCCAGTCGGGACGCTGCTGTGTCAGCTGGACTGTGATAACAAAAGGCACCCCCTCCCGCGTCTCCCTTCCCCATCCAAACGCAGGAGTGGGGGCTGGGGAGTGGGTGTCCCCAGGGGTCCTAGGGGGCCGCGGAATCTCACTTACCGTCGACAGCGGCCGCGACCAGAGCTGAGAGCAGGGGCAGCAGCAGCAGCTGCGGCGGGGTCAGCATGGTGTGGGCTGATGCAAGCAGCAGCCCCCTACTCTCTGGTCCTGCTACTTCTCACCGTCGCCCCCCCCCCAATTGGGGGGTCCCCCTTTTTCCTCCTTTCCTTCTCCTCTATTCTTATCCTATCCTTCAGCAACGCGCACCGGGGGCGTGGGTGAAGAGGCAGAGTTCGGAGCCCCTTGTGGAGGGTCTGCTGGCGAGGGTACGCCCCCTGACCCCAAATCCAAACCCTTCGCCCCCTGCTTTTCTCTTCGCTCCTCTTTCCCCCGTCCCTGGGCAAAGCTCACAGCTCCATCTCCGAGCCGCCTCCGGCTGCAAAAATGCACAATTGGGAGGAGGCGGGGTGGGGGGTGGGGGCGTGGGCCGGGTGTGGGAGCCCTTGGAAGGGGCCTGATGGAGCTCTGGGGGCTCCCCTCGTTTCTGCCTCCTCAGTGCACGGGCCTGGAGCTCGCACCACTGTTCCCCCGACTGAGGTGCCGCGGGGCGGGCTGAGAGGGAGAGAGGGAGGGGAAGGGTGGAGGAGGGAGGGAGAGAAGGGGCGGGGAGAGAAGAAAAAGGGAGGGGGGAGAGCTACGCGGCAGTCCTGCGAGTGCGCATGCGCGGCG